TGTGTTTTGAAAAAGTACCATTATGATACTAATTATTTTCTTCATAAAATTTGATGCAATGTTTTCAAGCAGCATGTGAACCTCATTTGAGAAGCCCTGGTCTCCAAAGTACCTCCTAGTTTCAACTCCTTTTGAAGAACTGGTTTTATAGATGAGTGAAATGAGGCGGGAAGAGGTAACCTAGTTATGAATGGCAATGCCAGAACTAGACAACTAACCTTCCCAGCTCCTGGTCATGCTCATTTCACAACAGCAAAGAGCTGATGCCTTCCTTCCAGTTGAAAATGAAACAACATAGGCCAAGGGGAAGAGAGCTGGAAAAGCTCACTGCGTGGGTCCAGATAAACACTCCCCACTGTGCGCTTTCTGTCACACTGGTTCTGAGAGGCACAAGAAACAGGCTGACACACATGGGCCTTCCTCTGGTCTCATAGTGGGGAAAATATTGCAGTGACCATATCACAAACCAAATTATGACAATATACAAATGCAGGAACACAAAAGTGAAACACCAAAGCACTGAGTAGGGTTATATTAGCTCTCCTGTCTACAGAGATGTTCTTTCTCCTGTTTCAGCATATCTAAGACATAAATGCCATTATAAGCTTTCATAGTTACATCTATTCCTACATTCCTACTGGTCTATTAATGTCTTGATCTTTTCCATTCATAAACTGATTTCTATTTATCCTTCTGAAATGTACATTTCTCACAAAATTTGAGACCAGTTTATGAAAATGAAAGAACATTTTTTTTTTCCTCAGTGATGTTCACACAGCTATAACTTCTGAGAACAATTTCTTGAGAGATGTTTTGGGAGTTGTATTCCGGAACATATTATTTTCACGGTCTTCCCCCTGGTAGGATGGAAAATGATCTTGTCTTGAGGCTGCTCTGCATCTTCTGGTTCTGGTAGAAATTACACATCTCCTGCTCAGAAGAGCTGCAGGAGGAGAAGATAATAAGCCAGGCACGGCACGTCTGGGAGTGACCACAGCAGCACCGCACTCTCCCAGGACGCTGTCCTGAGAAACCAGAGTGAGTTGCTATATTACTTGCACTGAGGATGTCTTCA